ATATAAAAAAATAAAAAAATAAAAAACACATTTCAATCAGGATGGGAAAAGTAGTACCTTCCATTGTCCCTGGTTCATTTTATGAAATTAGGTTCATGTGAGTATTATTTATTTATTTATTTGTTTTCTATATAATGAGCACTTTGCCTTCCACTTAATAGTGATGTCTAATCTATGGCATAAAATATTTTTTTGTATTTCTTTATTTTTTTAATATTGCAAGTTGATTCAGATTATAGGGTCATTATATTTTATTACTACATAAAATGAAAATAAAGAGTCATGGTTTTAAGCTAGACTTTGAAACATTCTAGGCCGACAGACTTTTCATAAGTTTGATGAAAGCTGTCCAAGCCTAAGCATGGAGCAATTCATTTGATATTAATTGAAAGTTTTTATATATACAAATATACAAATTTATTTGATAAGAAGCTAGGGGTGGGAGAAAAAACTAAAAGACTTGTTTATTTATATAAAGAATTGGGCAAGAGCCTCACTTGGAGTATTTGGAACGTTGTTTTTTTGGGAGCTTTACAAGAGAGCAAGAGAAAGAAAGAAAGAAAACCAAATTCTCAAGATGGAACCTACCAATATAGAAAGCAAATGTGGATCAAGATGTAGAAAAGAGATAAGGTCAGAATTTGAAAGAGTGCCAAAGGTCACAAAAAGTATTGATACCAATTGAATGAATGGAGCAAGCAATGTGTTTGGAAATGACCAGTATTTAAAAACAATAGAAGGCATTTTTTACTTCTTCTTTTGTTTTTTTTTTTTGTTTTTTTTGTTTTTTTTTTATATATGCTTTGATTCAGGTAAACGAAAATATGACCCAATGGTTTGCTAAGAGATAACTACAACTTCACAGTTGTCTGAAAAAAGACAGAAACAAACAAACAAACAATGTTTGTTGGTTTTGTAGAAAAGAATCTTAGTAGTTGAGATGGCTTACATGTATTATTTATTATATTAACTTGTTACGTTGGACATTCAATATGAATAATTGCTTTGCTACATCAGCAGGATTTGGTTGGAGTCGTGTTAGGTTATGCTTTAATCTCTTTCGAAAGATCATGCTTGATTCTAGAGAATGGTTGAGATGAAGTTGTCCACACCAAAAAAAATTAATCAATTAACTAATTACACCAATGAAAGTATAAATGTAAAAAAATTCCAAGACAATTTCACTGGTAAAGGTAAATTTTATGTATCTGTTCGTTGGAATTAAAGTAGAATTTAAATATGACTGCAAAGTTTTTAAAGTTCAAGAGGATTGTTTCTCTGTCTTATGCTTGGATGAGAGGAGAAATGTCTCAAAATTTGTAGTTTTTTCCGAGGTGAAACTGAAAGTATAAAGGCAATCGATAGAATTTTTAGGGTGTAAAAATTCAATGTGAATGTTTATTCAAAGGTCATGGTTTCGGTACTAATAAAGTAGTATTGGAGAATATAAGTTATCATCGAGAATTCTGACGTCTAAAAAATCAAAGGAGTATTCTCCTCATATAATTCTTCTTTAAGACTTATGACTTACGTAGAGGAGTGGAGTACAGGAGAGAATGCAAGTGAAAAAAACATTTGAGGTTTGCAAATTGAGGAGATTGCGGTACAAGATTTTTAATTTTTTAATTTGATTTTTAATGCCCAGAAGATGCGTGTTTCTACGAGGCTAATGGCGTTGACTCCCGACAACGGAGCAAATTCTAGAAAACTTTTCTCAGCGTGTTCTGTGCAAACGTTGAGTGAATGGAAGCATTCTGCTGGCAAGGAAGCTCTCGCTTGGGGGGGGGGGGGGTCCGGGTTGGAGTGTTGAATGTGGCGAACACCTACGGAACCGAAGAACGGGGAGAAGAACGACTATAAATGCAATATCCTGGTGCGCGGGACTGTCAGAGCGGCCGCTGGCATAGATGTCCGCATTGCATGCACACTGAAATTGACTCAGTGTCAACGGCTCTACAAACCCACCCCCCCACCTCCTCAAGAATCCCGAATGTGTATATATAGAGCAAGCGAGCCAGCAAGACTGCATTCACGACCCTCCACTCCACACTCCTTGGAAACAAGAGCCCGACTGCTTCTTCTGCTCGATCAATAATAAACAATTCAGAAAGACCCAGCGCCGTGTTAAAAATGACGCGAGGGGAAACACAATCATGAAGCTCGCGCACAACGGAACCCCCAAATCCAGGGCCAGAGACCCACTACGACCACTGCATGGAAAGCGGCTGCCGCCATCCCGGCACGATTTTCACCCCCCGAGTGAGTGAATAATCCGGGCAGCCCGCAGTGGGCCCCGAGGCGGACGGCGTTCGTCCATGACTTCGTTCGTTCGTTCGTTCGTCGGCTGCCAAATGACAGGGAGTGGAGAAAAGGACAGTGGTTCAAATAATACAACAGGGCGTGTGTGGGACACAGCGAGTGGATGAAAGTATTGATAAGCGTTGGTCTATCATCCATGTGAAGAGGCGGAGTTGGTAAAAGCGGCGACCTGAAGACGTTGAAACACGCGTGGCCTGCTCATGGTCTGAGACACCTGGATGAAAACCGAGGGGTGGTGCCATGCTCACCACCCATTAACATTAGCACTGTTGCCCCCCCCCCATTAAAAAAATACGTATCTATATATATATAGATATCAAACTACATAATAATAAGCTTATTGGGAATCAGTTTATAATGGTGCCCATTTGTTTCTGTCCGCACTTTTTTGTGTTTTCTTTTCATTTTTTTGAATTTTTGTGTGTATTTCAAAGGAAATGATCCAGTTCATCATGCTCTTGAGGAAAAGGCATATTGTGTGACTCACGATTGGAAATGGTGGAAAGATTCAACCAACTTGAGAACTAAAAATGAGTGAGAAGGTGCATGACCCTTGGGAGAGGAGAGAGGGGGGGGGTGTGTTTTGTATGGCTTTTGACCCCCCCCCAAATTTAATTCGATGGCTTTTAGTCACACAAGTTCCACACACTTGATATTGTTGCTATCACTGTGTCTGATTTTGACCACAACACTTTGCTGCTGTTCATAACTTGGCTCACATAAAGGTGTCTGTAAAGCTAAATATGAGGGCATGTGGACCTGTATCATTCTGGACTACATATTGCAGCTTTGGTTTTGCTTGCGTGCCATTGTAGGCAGTTTTGGGGACCACAAAAGATTGTGGGTTTGCTTCCACATTCACAAAAGCAAAAGATACTAAATGGACTTACTTTGTGCTTGGTGGGACCATTGCATGCCAAGTCATCTGAAATGCAGTTGGAGCAGTGACTGTCCCTGTGCACTACTACCAAGGTCTGCAAATCAACATGGATATTTTTATTTGAAGGGTTTGGAAACAAAATTTAACAGGGAAATAAAAACAATCCTTGTCATGCTCAAGTGTTTTGAAAAGAAAAGAAAATTATATATATATATATATATATATATATATGTAAGTGATATGCAGGGATTTCTAAAACTTAAAATCTTAAATGAAAGGTTGCATTGCTTTTCCCAACTTCTTCACAAGTAGCCACAGAATGAGATTGACTTTCTCACCATGTACAACTGTCCAATTTGTTGTGGTTAAAAATAGAAAACTGTGCTCAGAACAATACAATACAAATTAAATGAATAAATAAGTTAATAACTACAAGCAAAAGTGGGTTATTTTGAATTACTGTTTCCCTTTACTTTGTGCTCAACCCCCCAAAACATATCACTATCTGCTTGGACTTCCTATTTGTTTGTTTGTTTGTTTGTTTGTTTACCTTCTCCCCTTTCTTGTTCAAGGCATGGATCCAACACCTTTAAACCAAAAAAAATTCCATTGTTCATGTCTTTGGGGACAATGAGATATATACTCACCCTGAGATGCTTGATCCATTTAAGATGCTTGATCCAAATGGAGAATGTTTCAAAATGAAGCATGCATAGTACATTCCAAGCATCTCAGAACACTAACTGTAGCCAAAGGGGAGGGGGACAAGTAGTATTTCATTTTTATTCCTAGGAAGCCCTGTAGGATCATATAGAGGGAGCAGTAAAGAGCACAAATAGATCCCTTCACTTGAATGGGGAGTAGGGACTTTGATTCCCAGTTTCCAACTGTGATTGCTCCCCACAAATTGAGCCAATGTAGACTAACCTTGCTTGCTAGTTTTGGGGTTGTGTGGAGGAGGATGTACTTTTCTCCTTTGTAACAGGATGGAACTTTTGTGTTGAGTGTGTTTTCCAAGTGCATAGGATTCAAGGGCTTGCTGGATACAAAGGAGGTTCCTGCTTTGGCCAGCTCCCAGGAACTAGGCACCCACTTGACCTCTTTAAAGCCTACCATTCATTCCATCTCAATACTGCATGCAGTTTATTGTTGTTTAGTCCATGCTTTGAATTGTCAATTCTACCTGTCAGCTCTTTTCTCATTGTGTGTGTTGCTATGTTGTCCACACCAAGACCAATGGTTTTCTTTACACATCTGCATGGTGATCAGAGTTTTGCTCCCAGGAGATCAAGCAGACTCATGCAAATGCTTTTCTCAGCTGTAGTAGATGGTCCAGAGCTACTCAAACTCTAGCACAAGAAAATCAGATACCAAAACAAAATTGGATTTTCATGCCTTTGCCCATTTGTAACATGGAGGTTCAGAAGGTATGTGATCTCCCTAGTAACAAACAAGCCATGCAAAGTCAAGTCACTGTTCCAGTTTTTGGTGATTGACACACTCCTCAAGGTAGCACTGTTTTGATCCCATGACAAGCAATAGGTCAAACCTGGCACATGTATTGGGATTGCCTGTTAGGTCAGGAAGCCACCTACAGACGACACAGCAAGATGACCTACACTCCACATGTTTAAATCACCATACAAGTTGTGATCAATGTTTCCAAAGAGAAGAAGAGGAAGTAGTAACAAAGAAAGAGCGAAGGAGAAGAGTTTCTACAACTGGGAAGCACTTGGTAATGGGAACGCCCAACCAAAGACAAGAAAGCACTACATGTATCCATCTGGACACATAGCGTTAATTATGGCTTAAATGAAATCAGGTTAAAAATATGGTTCAAATCAAGAGCTTTCCAGTTCAACTACGTGTGAAGATCACGACAGGAGGTTTTATCACTGCAATCTCCATAACATGAACCTTTGCATTCATGAAATGTAGCTCTCCAGTTGGGGTACCTAGAAGAAAGAAAAGTCCAAGAAATCTACAAGTTCAATGAAGCGTCTTGGAAAACCAACACAAAAGTTGAGATATAATATATTTTTGTAACTGTGCTTCGCTCTGACGCCACATCATTGACAGAAACCCGGCCAACACAAGCTGCCTGCAAACTTCGTTCGAATCTGCTCACAGGCATTGATTCTTGGTTTATCAAAATCAGATTTTAGACTTTAAAATAATGACAATAATAACAATAACAATAATAATACTACTAAGACAAGAAGAAAAGAAGCCGAGGAACTTGTTTTAGGCGTTCTTCCTTACGAACCCGTCTTGGACCGTGGTGCCAGCTATGGTGATCAAAACAATGCATTCAAATTGCGAAGAGAAGAGACCAGAATCAACAGAAATATCAGATCTAATAAACGTACCAAAAGGAACTAAGTAACAAAAAATTTGTGAAAGTACACCGATGTCCTATAGTCGTACTGCAATAAGAAATCTCATCAACGTGAACCAACTCGTTAATGCGCATAGTTGAAGGCCAGGCGACTACAACATAATTGATTACTGAAGTATGCATCAACATATACGAACCAATTGAATCAACCCGATACTTAATTCGACGAAGGTATGACAAAAATACAAACTAACACGGACCCACTTATGACAAGGCACACACAAACACAGCTGACGTGATGGGAGAATTGCAGCAGTCAAGGCTTCGAGTTCGCTATCTACAACATTGTAGTGTAGGCAGGTGGCAACAAACTTGTTCGATCTACCTGTAATCACAACCACAACGTTCTTTGCTCTGCAGTGGTCCACTACTTCTGACTCCATACTTCAGCCTACAGGAAACATCGCAAAATCGGTTTGTTGCTCCAGAAGGAGGCAGCCAGCAAAAGAAACGACAATTCGATCGCGAAACGCAGAATTTAGGTCGCACCCACTATGTTTAGACCCACGGTGAACAACCCAAAAGTGAACAAATGTCACTACCATGTCCAAATCATTCAAAAGAACTTGACAAAAGAGAGCACATAAAGAGAGCGGGAGCGATGCGGCGCAGAGTGCGAGATGAAAAGAGGAGACCTCGAACACTGATCCGTTGTTACCTTAGGTTCTCCCGTCTACCAGCCCTAGCCCCTGCAGCTGAGGCTTTCATGTCCTTAACTGTTTCTCCGCGTCTCCTCTTCTCCTCGATCACCGTTAAAGTTTGCCCATTCACTCCACACACATCAATCGACCAAACAATGAAAGAAACCGAGGAATCGATTGGAGCGCAGGTACCGACAACCTCGGTGCCGTGATTGCATCGGGGCATCCTTGTCTAAAGTGAACATCGAGTGGATGAATGAAATAGTTTACATGCCTCAAAATCTAAATGTTTTCCAATTCAAAAAGCGTATCCACAGTTGTTGCACGGTTCAATGTTTCTTTCATAATTATTTATCCATTCACTTTTTTTGAGCTAAATAATTAATAAGAATAATTATATATATATATATATATATATATATAAATTTTGTAATATAGGTTAGTAATTGAGTTTGAGGTGGCATTTAGTTTATATTTGTTATCAACATTTGTTGGTGAAATTTGATGGAGAGATTTATAAGGAGATAAATATAGACAATACTTTTCTATAATGTAATAGAATTCAAATTTTTGGACAAAAAAACTAAAAAATTAAGTTAAAATCATTAAAAATGTATGTCCTTTTATTATGTATATATAATTCCAAAAATTGGAGTTAACAAGATTTGAAGCTCTTACATGTATCAAAGCAAGTGTTGTGTTATTGTAACTCACTTTAATTGAAACTTGTCAAAGCTTGCTACTTCTAGATTCAAGGGGATGTAGCTACAATAAAGGGATTTAAGATTCAAGGAGATGCAATAATAATAAGAGGATTTAAGATTCAAAGGGATGCAATCATCACTTCAACTTTCTAAATCTTTATTTTCTGGTCTCAAATATTTAATTTTTGACATTGATCCATTTGATTTTCTTCTACAAGCCATAGAGACTAATTTTTAAAGAGTTGCTCATTACTTGGAAAATCCAAATGTATATATGAGTTACTTTAGCCATCTACTTTGTATTTATTTTATAAAAATTTTAATATTTTTTTATTTTTACAAATCCCAATATTGTGAGAAAAAAAATGCATATTTGAAAATTAACACCCCATTAAATTATTTTTTCTTTTAAATTCAAGTAGATACAAGTACAATGATTATTGAGACATTTGATTGATTAAAAATCCTTGGTATTTAATAATCTTTCGAAAATTCATTGATATTTAATGATTTTTCAATAATTTCTTCTTTACTTCAATTTCTATATCTAGAACACATGATTTCTACAACATAGGTACATTTATTGCAAGCCTTGCAATACACAATCACTAAACCAGATTTAATGCATTTATCTTTTCCAAATTCCACCAAATTTTCATACTTTTAAAAATCTTAATCTCTTTAAATCCAATAACACCAAGTATCAATGTAGCTCTTTGATTCATGTACTGTTTATACCAAAAAGAATCTACTCTTGAATATTAAGCAAGCAAAATCCTACCATTCAACAAGTAGTTTTTAAATGCAACTAAGGTTTCTTGTTAATAAATCTTACCTACTTTACTTCTAAAGTGTCTACAAAATATGCAATTCTACAATTTATACAAATGTCACTTGAAAGCCTATACTTATTACGTAGAATCACAATAATATCTCTATCCTGTCCATTTAGTTGTCTATAACTACTAACTTTGTAACATTTATATTTAATATATGTTCTATAATAATAATAATTCTTCATTTTCTCTTTAAAGCAGATGCACAAAAATCTATCTATCTATATATATAGATATATATATATAATAAAAAATAGAGCCAAGGAATATTTACCAAAATATAATAGTTAGTTACAACTATGATGGCAATTGTATTTTCAAATCTAATAATTATTATTATTACCATAGTTGATATCTTAGGATTACTTGATTGATATTATATTATTTTAATAGTTTTACAAGACTAATACTTATAAAATTAAAGCTTAATGTTTTTCAATAAAATTTAATTAATTGATTTTTTTAGAAGTATCAAAGTGTTTTAGATGTTAAAAATTATCCTTGCCTAAACTACTATATATGTATAAAAAATTATTAATGTTGCATCTCCAATTGTTAGGGACATAGTCCTTAGACCTTTTTAGAGACAAGTTTCTAGAACCTTCTAGAAAGAAGTCTCTAGAAACTTCCAGAAGATTCCTTGAATATTCTCTTAGAATATTATTCAAAAGATTCTCTAAAGATTCTTTGAAGATTCTCTAAAGATTCCCTTAGAAGGCTCTAGAAGATTCTTAGAATATTCTAGTAGATTCTAGGAAGTTACTTGAGAAGCTTCCTAGCTCTTGGGTAGTTGCTCGAGAAGCTTCATAGTTCTTGGGAAGCTTCTTGATGCGCTTCCTTAGAACCATAGGCCAGTAGTATATATAGGAGTTGAGGCTAAAGAGTTCTTCAGTCTCGACAACGCATCTCTTGAAGCTCTAGCTCAATTCTCTTGGCGTTGCTCTTGTACTCATCTGATAATCTAGTTCTTGTCATTTCTTCTTGAACTTCTTGTTTAGATTTCTTGTTTGTATTTTTGGTCCGTGACAGTTTGTCGAGACTGACTTTTATCTTAATATCAGAGCTGAATCCTTCTTGTTGGAGAGCGGATTACCCTTCTTCTTGAAGGTATTCTAGCGCTTTAGGGGGTTGCGGATTACCTTCCTCTAAATTGATATTTTCTCAATCACAATATCGGAGCTTAGTTCTTTGAGGCAGAGAGTGGACTATCCCTTTCCTTGGAGATACTTGAGCGTTCTAAGGGTTGCGGATTACCCTCTCTTGGACTGATATTAATTCCTTCTTTTTGTTTAACATAGCTAGTAGAAAAGACTGTTAACATCGATTTCAGAGCTTTGCCTTCTTGATAGAGTGCGGATTACCCCTCTTCTCGAAAGCATTGAGGTATTTTTAGAGGTTGCGGATTACCCTCCTCTAAAACTGAAATCGTTTAGTGTTTTTTTTCTTTTCTCCGAGTAGGTTTTAGTGACAGGTAGTGCTACAATTTTCTCCAAGAGACTTAGCAATTTCTTCTTCTCTCAAAATTTTAATCCATCTATTCTCTAAATATGGAAGTAGACCAGGTCATAGACAATGCATCTCCACAAATAGACAATAGAGTGGCAACTCTTGCAGATCTTCAAGCTCTTATGAATAGTGTACAAAAGGAGATTGTATTTCTTCGCAATCCAAGTAAAGAACTTCAAATTGATCTAGTGACCGAAGAAGCTAGACGCGAAATTCATAGCCTACAACAAGAGATTATTCGACTGAGAGAAGCAAGACATGTGTCACATACGACCCCTATAGATACTTCAAGGATTAGTACGAAAGAACCAAAAGCGAGTATGCCAGACAAGTTTGACGGAACAAGAGCCAACTTCTGAGGTTTTGTGCAATAAGTACGGCTTTACCTACGCCTATACCCTTCTCGTTATCCGAATGGATTTGCCCAGGTTGCTTTCATAGGTATTCTTCTATCAAGAAATGCTCGCTCTTGGTTTGCTCCACTATTGGAGAAGGATTCTCCAATATTGTACGACCTAGAGGCTTTCATAGAGAGACTTACTGCTGCGTTTGGAGATAGCGATCGAGAAAGAGTGGCTGAAAGAAAGATACAAAATCTGCGACAAGGATCACGTTCAGCTGCAATCTATGCTGCAGAATTTCAACAGCTTACATGTGATCTTGATTGAAATGATAAGGCGTTCATGACACGATTTCGATATGGACTGAGAGATGATGTCAAGAACTTATTGATCACCATGCCTAAGGCGGATACTTTAGAAGAACTTATATCTCAGGCAATTATTTGTGACAACCGCCTCTTTGAATTACGACAAGAAAGACGATCAGGCTGGAGAAATGATGGAGCATTTGCTACATTTTCAAAAGGTCCAGAGAATCACTCCACAGATCCTGAACCCATGCAAATTGATGCGGTACGTTTCAAACCCCTCACAGCTAAGGAAAGGAAGCGACGGTTTGAACAAAACTTGTGTTTATATTGCGGAGAAGCGGGCCATAAAGCTGTAGATTGTCGGAAGAAACAGAAGCCTCAAACAACAAGACTCAGGAGTACAAGCATGCAGGAAAACAAGGACGCCCAGCCACAATAGGGACCGTGCGGCTGGACATCTCAACATCCAAAATTAATCAAGGTCCCTTTCTCTCACCTCAACCTTCAGATTGTTTTATGGTACCTTTACATCTGGGTATTCAAGAACTACAAGTCGATGCTTTATTAGACTCGGGTGCATCCGCTTGCTTTATAGATGAAGAGTTTGCCAAGCTTCACAATATTTCTCTTGTAAAGAAACTTAAGCCTGTCCATGTAGAAGTCATAGACGGACGACCATTATCTTCGGGCAATGTTATCCATGAAACTAAACCATTGAAGGTACGTCTTGAAAACCATGAGAGCAATATTGTGTTTAATGTTATCAAGACCCCTTCATGTCCTATCATTTTGGGACTATCTTGGCTTGATAGATATAATCCATTGATAGATTGGAAGTTGCGAAAAGTGACATTTCCAACAAACTCCTTGAAGGTGGAATCTGCTAGGACAATGTCTAGAAACAAATCCTTGTTTATAGGTGCAAGGGCTTTCATGAAGGAAGCCAAGCAAAATACACCTCTTGTCATCTTCGCAACTCCGACTCGAGAAGATGCAACTCCGACTTTGGTTATTCCAAAGCAGTATGAAGAATTCAAAGATGTCTTTGAAAAGAAGAATGCTGATATGCTGCCAGAGCATCGACCCTATGACTGTGCCATTGAATTGCAAGAAGGAGCACAACCACCTTTTGGACCAATCTACAATTTTTCGCAGACGGAGTTGACTGAGTTGCGGAAGTACATTGACTAGAATCTAGCCAAGAACTTCATCCGTCATTCGAAGTCGCCGGCTGGGGCACCAATCTTATTTGTGAAGAAGAAGGATGGCTCACTACGGATGTGCGTGGACTATCGAGGTCTCAACAAGG